GGCGGTGGCTCTGACCAACATTCAGGCTGAAACGGTCGCGGATGCCCTCATGCAGATATTCTCCCGGTTGGGATTACCCAGGGAGATTATCTCGGATCAGGGTACCCAATTTACCGCAGAATTCACCCAACACCTCTGGAGGATCTGTGGCATTAAGCCTATTATCAGTGCCCCTTACCACCCCCAGACTAATGGGCTCTGCGAACGGTTCAATGGCACATTGAAACAAATGCTCCGAACCTTCGCAGAGACCCACAAGGACTGGGAGCGGTTCCTGCCGCATCTCCTATTCGCTTACCGGGAGGTGCCGCAGGAATCCACGGGGTTCTCCCCGTTTGAACTGCTGTTTGGGAGGAGGGTCAGAGGCCCCTTAGATCTTATAAGAGAGCATTGGGAGGGAGACCGGAGCGCAGATGGCACCCCCATCATACCATATGTGTTGGCTCTCCGAGACCGCCTGGAAGCCTTAACCAGGACGGTAAGGGAAAACCTTCAGGCGGCACAGACTCGCCAGCGCACATGGTATGACCGGGGAGCCAGGGACCGTAGCTTTCAGGTCGGGCAGAAAGTGCTAATTTTAAAGCCTGTCCGACATGACAAGCTACAGGCCGCCTGGCAGGGACCTTATAGGGTGGTGGAACAGAGATGTGACACCACCTATATAATTGGCTCCTGTACAGGGACGGGAGGGCGACGCATGCTCCATGTGAACATGATGAAGCCCTACCAAGCGCGCTCCGAGGAGGTAACCGCCATATGCGCGCCCAATTCAGATGAGTCTGACAGCTTACCACTCCCAGATCTGCTGGAAGATGGGCAGCTGTCTGGGGATTTAGGGGAAGTCACACTGGGAGACCGGCTGAGCCCACAGGAGCGCATCGAGGTACAGCAGCTGTTGGAAGAGAAACGAGACACGTTCTCTAACGTACCTGGGTACACCCCTCTGGCCACTCACCGGGTAGAGACCCCAGGGCAATTACCGATGCGTCAGACCCCCTACCGCATCCCCGAAGCGGTAAGGGAAAACATGCGCAAGGAGATCGATGAGATGCTCCAACTGGGGGTGATTGAGCCCTCAGATAGTCCCTGGGCTTCTCCGGTAGTACTCGTACCGAAGCGGGACGGTACGACCCGCTTCTGCGTAGACTACCGGAGATTAAACGAGAAAACGGTGTCCGATGCATACCCTATGCCACGGATAGATGAGCTACTGGACAGAATGGCCAGGGGTCAATACCTCACTACCATTGACTTATGTAAGGGGTATTGGCAAATCCCCCTGGCCCCAGAGGCCATCCCGAAATCGGCCTTTGTCACCCCATTTGGCTTGTACCAGTTTAAGGTCATGCCATTTGGGATGAAAAACGCCCCAGCTACTTTCCAGCGGATGGTAGACCGACTCCTGGATGGGTTCCAAGACTACACCTGTGCCTACCTGGACGATATTGCCATTTTTAGCAATACGTGGCAGGAGCACTTGGCCCATATAGGAGCGGTTCTAGACAGGATTAAGGAAGCTGGTTTGACATTGAAACCGGCCAAGTGCAGCATAGGGATGGCCGAGGTGCAGTACCTCGGACATAGAGTGGGTTGCGGCAAACAGAAGCCCGAACCAGCCAAGGTAGAAGCCGTGGCCCAGTGGCCCACTCCTAGGACTAAAACCCAGGTGTTAGCCTTTCTAGGGACCGCTGGGTATTACAGGAAGTTTGTCCCTAACTATAGCGCCCTCGCCAAACCTCTCACTGACCTTACTCGGAAGAATTTGCCCCGCCAGGTGACCTGGACCCCGGAGTGTGAGCAGGCATTCCAACATCTGAAAAATGCACTGATAAACGCTCCTGTCTTGGCAGCTCCCAATCCAACTAAACGTTTTCTTGTTCACACAGACGCTTCTATGTTTGGATTGGGAGCAGTACTGAGCCAAGTCGGAGCCGATGGCGGAGAACACCCCGTGGCTTACATCAGTCGCAAGCTGTTACCCAGAGAAGTAAGCTACGCCGCCATCGAGAAGGAATGCCTGGCTGTGGTGTGGGCCTTAAAGAAACTACAGCCGTATCTATATGGACAGCCTTTTTCGTTACTCACGGATCACAACCCGTTGGTCTGGCTAAACCGGGTGGCTGGGGACAATGCCAGGCTGCTGCGCTGGAGTTTGGCGCTGCAGCCTTTTGACTTTAATATTCAGTACCGCCCGGGTAAACAGAATGGGAATGCCGACGGGTTGTCAAGACAAACTGACCTGGAGAAATGATCCGTGAGTCCCCGGACATCCCCAAGCCGATCCGTGTTGGATCAGACTGTGTATGCCGGCTTGTGGGCAAGGGGGAGCAGTGTAGCGGATGGCACTGGGCTGTCCTGCAAATGTCTGTGAAATAATTGCATTCGTGTGATCTGTTAGTTTCCTATGTGTTTTAAAGCCTTGTATTCTTGTGATTGTTCGGTAGTTTCGTTCCCTTAGTTTATTCGAATGAAACTACCGAACAACCAGACCTCCCCTGTGTGAAGTGTGTCCTCAATTACCCGTTGCAACATTGTTGCGAACGGGTAATTGAACAGTAAGTAGCCGTCCTTTGTTCTCGGGGGTGGCCGCCATTCGACAAACGAACACGTGGCGGCGGCCATTTTAAAACTCCCGAACAGCGGTGTTTAGCCGTCGAGTGTCTGGAACTAAAATCGGACACTCGAGTAGGCGAACACCGCTGAGACCTCCACAGCCCTGGTCCGTTCGGTTCCAAACTACCGAACGGCCCCTCGTTCGGTAGATAGAGAATACCGAACGAGGGGATTCAGGCGAACCCTCCCTAGCCTCTATAGCTAGAGGTTTTCGTGTATTTTATTCCCTTATGCCAGGACCGACCGCAGGGCCCATTCACATGGAACCGAATTCGGCTATCTCAGTTCGTGCGGTCGGTCATTTTATTCCCTCCATACTTTTCCCGAACCCCTGGTCTGATCTGGGTGGTTTTTGGATATGTTGTTCACCCAGATCAGGGCTACCAGGGGATGTAGGATTTAAAGAGGTACCCCTACGTTTAGGGGTACATCCAGAAACGGGGGGAATTGGTGTACTGGATAAGGGGATTATGATGCTGGCTGAGGGGAGGAGATGTGTGGGAGGTTACCAGGACAGGATTGGCTACTGTAATAATTACTGTAAATCCCTCCCTTGCATGGGAGCATGCTTTATAAGGAGACTGTGATTAAAGGCTTGTCAGTTCTGCTCCTGAAACTGTGTGTCGTCCAGTTATTGGGATTGCTGTGGGGAGATTGCTGTTATTTTACCTGCTGGAAACTTTGCCTATGGATTTATTATTTACTTGTTCCTGAGCCTCACTTGGATTATAAGCGGAGACAACCTGGGGAATATTGCATCTCCGCTACACAGCGGCCCACTAAAAAGGGGGCGGGGCCAGATAGGGTGTGTTTTGTCATCACCAATGACAAGCACGCCCCATCACAAAGTGAGCATGTTGGTTCAATGCTCTTCCAGGGTAGACCATGCGCAGAGCTCTGCTGAAGAGCTCTAGCATGAGAAAAAGGCCCTGTATTTGTTCTGCACAGCGCAAGCAAATTTAATAACATGCTTGCACTGTGTTTGCTTGAACTTTGTCTCTGGTGTCTCCATAGTTGGGATACCAGGAGACAAAAATGCCAGGAAAGCATATTGTGCAGTGTGTGTGAGGGTGCTCTGTGTGTGTGTGTGTGTGTGTGTGTGTGAGAGAGAGAGGGGTGCAGTGTGTGTGTGTGAGTGATGGGTGCTGTGTTTGCATGAGGGTGCTATGTGGGTAAGGGTGCTGTGTGTGTGATGGGTGCAGTGTGTGTGATGCGTGCAGTGTGTGTGATGGGTGCAGTGTGTGTGTGCTGTGTGTGAGTGGGTGCTGTGTTTGCATGAGGGTGCTATGTGCATGTGAGGAAGCTCTGTGTGAGGGTGTAGTGTATGCATGTGAGGAAGCTGTGAGTGTCAGGGGTGCAGTGTGTGTGTGTGAGGGTGCTGTGAGTGTCACGGGTGCAGTGTGTGTGTGTGTGTGTGCTGTGAGTGTCAGGGGTGCAGTGTGTGTGTGAGGGTGCTGTGAGTGTTAGGGGGGCATTGTGTGTGTGCTGTGAGTGCCAGGGTTGCAGTGTGTGTGCTATGAGTGTTAGGGTTGCAGTGTGTGTGTGTGTGTGTGTGTGTGTGTGTGCTGTGAGTATCAGGGGTGCAGTGTGTGTGTGTGTGAGGGTGCTGAGAGTGTATGGGGTGCAGTGTGTGTGTGTGTGTGTGTGTGTTGGGAGTGTTAGGGGTGCAGTGTGTGTGTGTGCTGGGAGTGTTAGGGGTGCAGTGTGTGTGTGTGTGTGTGTGTGCTGGGAGTATTAGGGGTGCAGTGTGTGTGTGTGTGTGTGTGCTGGGAGTGTCAGGGGTGCAGTGTGTGTGTGAGGGTGCTGAGAGTGTATGGGGTGCAGTGTGTGTGTGTGAGGGTGCTGAGAGTGTATGGGGTGCAGTGTGTGTGTGCTGTGAGTGTTAGGGGTGCAGTGTGTGTGTGTGTGTGCTGGCAGTGTTAGGGGGGCAGTGTGTGTGTGCTGGGAGTGTTAGGGGTGTAGTGTGTGTGTGTGTGTGCTGGAAGTGTTAGGGGTGCGGTGTGTGTGTGTGTGCTGGGAGTGTTAGGGGTGCAGTGTGTGTGTGCTAGGAGTGTTAGGGGTGCAGTGTGTGTGTGTGTGCTGTGAGTGTCAGGGGTGCAGTGTGTGTGAGGGTGCTGAGAGTGTATGGGGTGCAGTGTGTGTGTGCTGTGAGTGTTAGGGGTGCAGTGTGTGTGTGTGTGCTGGGAGTGTTAGGGTTGCAGTGTGTGTGTGTGTGCTGTCTGGGAGTGTTAGGGGTGCAGTGTGTGTGTGTGCTG